AAACTTGGTCTATTCGCACCGATTGTCTACATACTTGTGTTTCTTAATTTCCTGTGTAAGTTCCCTTTCAGCAAGTAATTATATCCGTTCAAGTGTTTTTTTTTCACAGATTTGATTGATTTGTTACAGGATTTTATCATAAACTACCAACGGTTAGAGAACTATTGGAAATCTTGGAAATACTGGATAGTTGCTTCGTCCTACTTTGGGACTCTTCGAACCCAGGACCCGGTGTTCACAAGGCGAGCTCGTAGACCATTAAACTATGTCGTGAATTTGGAAAAGTTGGAATTCGAGCATTGGGTATTGGATTGGGTCCCAATGGTGCAGTGGTATACGAACTCGCTAGCGTTGTAACTAGTCTGTTACGACATTTCTGCTCTATCTTCGAGAAATCCACGAAATTTGACTGAAAGCGAATTTTGAAAGGTTCTGGAGTTAACTTTGAGACCCAAGGACATTAATCAAGAATAATCATCACATGTTACAGGATTTTATCATAAGCTGACATTGGTTAGAGAACCACTGAAAAACCTGAAAGCACTGAACAGCAGAACCTCGGTGGGTGCGTACTGCTGAAGGGTCCCAAACTAGGACGAAACCGCTGTCCAGTACTCTCAAGTTTTCCAGTGGTTCTCTAACCAATGTCAGCTCATGATAAAATCTTGCAGCCAATCAAATCCCTACATACTAACACTTGAAAATCATCACATGTATTTGACACAGTGCCACCCAGAATTAGGCCTTTACTCAAGTTAAGTCAAAATTTTCTTATAAGGAGGTTGCAGACATTTTTAAATACCCTTAAAGAATAAATAATGTCATTTAATCGATTTAAACAAGGCGAATTTGAGAAATTATACGCAATATAAAGACAGAAGTTCTTGGTAGAGATAGTTTTAAGCCATTCACCAGTTTATATAAAGTGTTCAATGACTTTTCACCTTATCTCTGAAAAATAATTTGTTATTTGACCTCCATGTCACTGAAATTCCCTGAATAGTCCCTTGTGCATAAATGCTAGTCAAAAATTTGTTTTACTATCAGATTACTGAAATCGATTTTAGTAGTATGGTTGTAATCAGCAAAATAAAATGAATTAAATTTTATTTGTTAGACTTAACCATAAAAAAAATGAAGTTGGAGTGGTCATTGAAAACGCCAGAGCACTGGATGGTTGTTTCATCCTCGTCAGCGAAAGCAAATGGATACTGAGTGAAGCAGGGCGATGCTGTATCATGGGTGAACAAGTGAATCCTTGCCCAAGTGAATGAACTACAAATGATCTTAGTCTCGTAACTTAAATATCCCCGGCTCTATCCCTGACTGGGTCATGAATGCACTGCCGAAAAGTTCTAAGCTATAACAAAACAGCTGTCAAATACCACCTGGTTTGCAATGATATCCGCAACTGATGTTCGTTCCTGATGAAATCAAACAAATGGAATAAGATTATTCCAAATCCTCACTAATTCCATAATCTATAAGGAATTAAATTCCTTCCGAAAGGGAATGGTATCGACTTTTAAATTAATCTATGCCATGAAACTGGCAAATGTTTTCTAGCAGATCAGACAAAAGTCTGAATGGAAAAATGAAGCGACCCCACAGTCTTGTTTACAGGTAAGTTGATGTTCACGTAGGTGTTGTAGTTTTTACCGAAACCCGGCGTCAGTAGTTCAACAGTAAAATGCTCGATCCTCGGCTAGCGCAGTTCTAAACGTCTCTAAGCCAATAGAAAGCCGGGCAAGGTTTGAAGGTTGAGTCTCACGCTGGAAACCCCTCTGTAAAAATAAGATCACTGCTCCTGAAACTTCACAGTTCAAGCTTGAAGCTCAATCGGGATGCAAACGCGAACGTCCCTATTGTCTTTATATCTTTACTGAGAGTCAGCATATACAGCGTGTCTGTTTACGAGGACAACGAAAAGACATTAGTTTAAGTAGAGAAAATATTTCCAAGCTTTTGTGGTTCCGCTAAATTTCTACTTTTTTAACATTAATGATGTATTAAATATGTAAGTAAATTTGATTAAGTTCGGTATTTAACTTCAAATAGTATTTGTAATAGCGAGTGTCAAATCACTGATAAAACATACATATATAAGACAAGAAAGTCATCAGAAAGTTTCAAGATAGTTGAAGGTGTTGATTTACCACCTCGAAAAAAGGAAGAAAGATTTCTCCTTACTTAGACGTCATTTCTTTGACCCACTTTTCTTATTTCTTACTTAGGTGTGTAGATTCCTTCATACTATCAGAAAACAGATATTTAAGTGGGTTGCATAATCCCTATTTAAAGCATACACAGTTTTGATAAGTAGGACTGGAATACGGGATATTCTCTCGTTCTTTTGTGTTTTTTCGATGCTATCTACTCCCTCATGTTAGATTCTATGAATCCATGGATAATCCCCATTCAGGCATAATTGAAAACAAAACACGTAGATCAGCGAAGAGACTCTTTTCAGCGAATTCATTTTCTAGGCTGTACAATTGCAAATATACATATGTGTTATTTTGTATGTATGTGTACATTAAGTTTGTCAAATAAAATTACAATTGGTCATGGTTGCAAAAAGGCAATAGTGGTGCAACAAGGAGTGCGATAATTGAACACCTGGTTAACACTGATCATTCCATTTCAACAAACCCCTCCGTCAAAGTGATCTACAGAGTCTCTCTCTTCCTTACAAACTCTACTTAAAACATTCTTGTTCGTTCCAATTTGTTACCGCTTACGCCAGTAAATATGCTAGCATCTACTTTTCTAACACTCTGTTCAATTTTGGCTTTGCTACCAACATGCCAATATGTAGTTGTCATAATGAATTGAGATTTCCTTAATCTATGTAGAATCGTATTTATTGTAATGTGCTAACTGGATGCAATATTTTACTAAAATACCGAGAATTCCATTCTGTATCACAAGTACTGTTTTGAAATAAAGCTATTATCTTATCTTATGTGCATCCTGAGTAAAACTCACTCACACTTTTCATATTATTACATAACTTTTCTTAGCAAATGTTTGTGACAACTCATCATCTTTGTTACTACCCTAATTTTATTAACACCTAATTTTCTTGACTTGTACTACTAATCTTCACTTGTTTAGTTAAAATAAACAATTGTAATTTTTTTGACAAACTTAATGTACACATACATACAAAATAACACATGTATACATATTTGCGATTGTACAGCTAAGAAAATGAATTCGCCGAAAATAGTCTCCTCGCTGATCTATGAGATTCTCTAAATGCAGTTGTATGATAATATTCACCGCCTGAAGAGAATCTCACAGATACTGAGAAGAAAGACACACTTGAATTAGACTATACGGCTTTTATTCAATCCTTGACTTTTAAGAATATCTAATAATAAGACAGAAAAGGAATAGGCATCCATAAAATTTATATAAATCACTGTGCATTCAAGTGGATTCACAAAGCATAATATTGTAAAAGTGAGGTATTTCATTTCAAGGAGACGAAACACACAACGACATGTTAAAGCAATAACTAGGTACAACATGAAAATCTAGGACGATTGTTTCATCCTCTTCGTATTCGCCAGCTAGACGTACTCCCCTTCAGGTGGGTAGTAGTATTTTAACGCTATGACTCAAAGCCTTGTATCCATCGCTTAAAACGCCAAGGTGCTATCCTTTGAGCCAGTAGGGCCATGTTTTATACATCCTGGGTGATTTGAAATGGTTTATTCATGATCATGAATTCCTATGGATAAGGCTAAATTGATGATGATCACGCTTTTCGTTAAGTATTTTTCACTAAATTACTGTAAAGAATTTTAGGTGGATATTATGCATATTGTATATTATCAGGTTAGATCAACTCTTCTACACATTTTAGAAAATTTGCCTTACCATTACCAAACGCATTTCGAATACTCTTCAGACTTGTTTTAAGAGCTACTTTTGCTGGCTGTTAATAAGCAATAAGAAGGTCTGGGAAGGAAATGGATTGAACATCAGCTGAGGAAACTGTTCAGCCACCCGCTACTGAGTGGAACCCGAGTGGGAGAGGGAAAGTTGTATGCTAGTGGAAGGGTGACTTGGAGAAGATCGTCTGAGTAGACGTAAACAGAAGTTTTTGGGCAACTGCAAGGCCAGCCAAAGATATCTGAAGACAAAAGGATTAAAAATGGAGATATGCTTTGGGATCATATTTATCCCACTTATAACCTTATATTAACATTATAATGACCTAGGTCATTAAAATTTTGTACTTTATTCTATTCCTTCTTTTGTGTATCTACTGTTTCCGACTATATTAGCACTATGAGTATTACAAAATTGTCCTGTCATTAACCATCATGTAATATTAGTTTTGTGGTTGGTTTTTTTGTTCGGCAATATTTAACTGACAATCTTGGCTGTGAACGCCGTTATCATCATCTTAAAAATTTTGTATTATGCAGGACTACTCACACTACCACAACAAACACTGCATTAGAGCTGACAATAAAAAAACCCGAAATGTTTATTTTATGATTGTTTAGTGTTGTTCAATCAAATTAACTGATCATCATGGCGATAAACATTCGTAATATCACTTCATAACTTCTTGTATGATTATAGCTGTTACTGTTCACTACCCAAGACTGAGATATTATTTATTATGTTGTTTAATTTTCTTTCTACTTCTTGGTATTATTGCGCATTTTTTCTGCTATTTTGTTTTTTTTTGTTGTTTTTTTATATTTACGTTTTGAAATAACCCTTTGAAATATTTGATAAAATTAGGTGGAATATTATAGATAAGTGCTGAAAATGCCACACTGTATCACTGGTACTGTTTCTGGAATAAAGCAAATTAATACTATTTCGCCAACACGCAAGCATCTAACTGGGAAGCACAATCATTGCTTGTACAACTTCAAGTAATAGGCCGCATAATTAGTCTTTACTGCCTCAAATTAACTAGCAGATTATTTACAGAAAGGAAAACAGGCCATTTGTGTTAGACAGCAACTTACCCGCATCGAATTCATCCTCCAAATGATAAATATCTGGTGACGGTAAAGGTGAATAAGGATTTATTGGCCATATTCCACTGAAAATTGATGTAGTCATCACTTTTTCAGGTGATGTATCATTCGAACATGCTACTTTAGTGTTGATATTATCCTTTAAATTAAAACTGATTCTTTTACAAGGTGCATTAGTCAAATGTTGCTGGTTAGCATTATCTGTAGGAGTATTATTATTATTAGTAGTAGTAGTAATAGAAGTATTTGAATTCCCAATTAAGGCAATGTTGCTGATTTGATTATTCGATTTTAAATCATCTTTGCCTTCACAGGTAAATCGTATCCCTTTAAAATCTTTACGATATTCTTGTGATGACAATGGAAATATTGAAGTGTGTAAGATTGGACTCTTCGATGGATCATTTGTTAGATTAGTACTGTTTGATTTACTGATCAGAGTGTTGACACTTGTAGATGATGGAAACGATCTAAAAAAGCAGAAAGTAAAGTCACAGAAAGAAATATTAGAGTTTGTAAGACAAAAGGTTGAGCAAAGAAACATTTATTTTCTCTCTCTCTCTATATATATATATATTTATGTGGGGCAACCACCAGCCGATTTCATTGGTGACATTCTACTTGGTGGATACCGCAGGTCACGGCTTCTTCACTGGAACTTCACTTAACTTCATCCTGCAGTTAGTAACTAGTGAGCACTAAATCAATTTTTTCAGGTTTGCAAGGATATCGATCAATCTCAAGTGTGGACAAGAAATGACTTGGGTTTAAGAACTATTGAGAAACAGGTGGGGATTGGAATATATCGTGAACTGACAAAAGTTAGAATTGATTAGCTATTGGATCCTGTCCAAGTTGCAAGCTTGCAATGCAATCTGAAGGTTCGCCGTTCGATCCTCATCATCGGTTGTGTAGTGCTATTATTATTATTACTGCTACCTTGGGTTCCTAGTGGAACATAGGGCTTCAACTGTATGTCTCCATTTGTTTCTGTCTTCTGCTGTACTTATCACCTCCATCCATGTTAGTTCATACTCTTTCAACTCCTCTTCACACGATCTCCTCAATGTCAACCTTGAACGTCCCACACGCCGCTTCCCTTTCGGCTTCCACTCGAGGGCTTGGCGCGCGATGTCATCCAGCGGTCTCCTCAGCGAGTGTCCGATCCATCTCCACTTTCTCCTGCATATTTGTTGGGCGATTGGTTCTTGTTTTGTTTGTTCCCAGCCAGAGTTTCTTGTTGTTGGTGATTCTTTCCAGCCTGGCCATCTGATCTTCAGTATTGAGCGAAGACAGTTGTTAATAAAGGTCTGCAGTTTTTTGGAAATATTCTTTGTGATCCGCCCGCCAAGTTTCTGATCCGTATAGAAGAACTGACTTTACGTTTGTGTAGTGCTATACAGTCTAAAAATAGGCCGAACATAGTTATTCAGTAATCTCCAATTTTTGTTTGGTGTGGTTCTATTCTCTGAGCTCGACAGTTAATTTGCGAAGCTCTCATCGCCCTACTAGGTGCATACTTCAATTCGTTGAAGTGAGCTATTAAATTTACCCACGAGTTTAATAATCATCTCTCCTGGTGAGTGAACTTGGACGTGATTGGTTGTTTTTATGTGTTTTCACACCTTCTAATTTACTTGTATTGTACTGGAACTGATTGTTTCTTTGAATTGAATTTTATCCCTTTGTGTGTGAGGTTTCTTTTTTATCGGTTGATAAAGTTTGTCTATCTCGATGTGTCTACTGATTGATAATTCACTCGAATACCAATCTAGCTTCTAACAATTCTCTAGCATTCTTCTTGTTTCCTATGTCTAATATTTAAACGCTGGTTGTCTCAGTTCAAATTGATGTCCGTGGTTGCCTGTATGCAGTGAGGCGGTATGAGGGAGTGAATGTCATGTGTTTTGATGGCTAATTTATGCTCATGGATACGAAAACGAGGGCGACGTCCACTTTGGCCAATGTAGTGTTTTTCGCAGTTGCTACAATTTATTTTGTAGATGATGTTGAGTTTATCTTCTTTCACCGTTGATTCTTTTGGTTGACATAGAGCCGGGAGAGTGAAGTGACTTTGTTGGTTTGTGTGCGATGTCGATTCCTAAAGGTTTGAAGAGTCTTGCAGTGATTTCTGAGATGTCCTTTAGATATGGTAGGGCGATTTTTTTGCGCTTTCCTTGGGGTGTAAAAGTGTTGAAACACACAAAACAAGCAAACACATCCAAGGTCGCCAGGAGAGATGATTAATAAACTCGTGGAGGAATCTAGAAGCTCACTTCAAATTTAAGTATACGTTGAAGATATCGCTTAGTAGGGCGATGAAAGCTTCGCAGATAAACTATCCAGCTCAGAAAACACAAACAGCTGAGCTACAAATCTTCTCCATCGTACTCTCCGAATTCATTGGTTCTCTAACTGGTCATACTGTGATCAGCTGTGAACTAATCAGACCCCTGCTAAACAACATTTGCAAATATTTAGTCAGTAAGAGCACGCTGAGGGCTTGAAGATTAACCGAGAATATTGGTGCAAACATATGTACCTTTGGTAATTTTTTTTTGAAATAAAAAGCAAATGTAATTGATTGAACTGTCAAAACTGACTACATAGATAAGAATAATTGAATGTGAAGTATGCAAGTTAATTAGTTAAAGTAATAACAATGACTTGTGAAGAGTATATAACTGGAAAGCAAGTAATTGATATTATTTAGTCATATGAAGACAGCAGAGATTGAAAAATCCCTGTATCAACAGCTTTTAAACACACAGGTTTGATCTCATCGTGTAAGTTCCAAAGGCTTTTACTTTATGTAGACGACGAACTTGTATGGGAATATGACGGATAACCTAGAATGCTTTATCATTATCAATTCTGTTGTAAGTATCATCATAGTGTCCCGAAAAAGGGAGACAAATTGACGTTTTCCTACCCATCCGTAAACATGCGGAATGATGTTCAGAAATCCGACGGTTAAGATTCGCACAAAGCTGATTACTTTTTGAATCACCATAACTCGTAACAGAGCTCTAAATTCACTCAATGTAACATTATTACACGACGGAAGGCATGGAATGAATATACTTAACATGTAGTACTGGCTTGTAAGGATTCAATTGGTTATAGTTTCATTCATGAGCTGAAACCAGATGGAGAACCACAGAAGAAATGAAGAATACTGAAAAGCCGTTTTATCCAAGTCAGGAGTCGTCAACAGTATCCACGCATCAGGTTGCAATTCACGACCTACCTGTTACAAGGCAGAGCCCCTGGACCAGTGTTTCTCAAGCCTGTATCAGGTTTTAGTAAAGCCTGTAACCAATCAGGTCCCTGTGAATCAACATTTGAAAACAAATCCAGCTTTAAACAGCAAGTCACCTCGAAGCAGAATGAGAAACCAAGACAAGCGGTGTCAGTTAAACTAGGGAAGAAGAGAGCAACTCGCTTCTTACACACACCGGCAACTGATCTACTTGTGGCTAATTGTCGAAAGTTGAGATTCATAGGCTATTCGATCAAGTCCAAGTGGCTGAAGATCCAGTCTTCGAACCTCGAAAAGGGTGCGTACCTCAAAACGACCTCATACTAGGATGAAACAGCTGTCCACCACCATTATTTCAGGATAGAGAGTGTGTCAAACAACTGTGTATCTCAGAAAATATCTAAGAATCTGTGGAATGAAGTAAGTTGTTTTCATCAAATAATGCAATCTTTCTTTCCCCCAGTACTTAGGCAAAAAATACTTCAAATGTAAAAGGATTAGGCGTACTTTTATTTTCACAAGTTTCCTACATTGCTTTGGTTTTGTTTTTCACCACCCCTAACACCTGTATGCCATCTGCTTAGTATATATTTCACATTTATCAGGCTACTGAAACACAAATATGAATAGAGGGATATCCCGGTTTGTGAAATTATTTTCCGAAGAGATGTGTATTTCAGATTAAAATGGAATGAAACTAATCTGAACGTAAATCAATTCTATTCACCAGTTGATTGACTGAGATACCGTATACATGTAAATGATAGCTCTATCGGTAAGTAGTTGCATCTTTATAACTTGAAATGGTATTAAGATAGGGTTATTTGAATATGGTTCACTGGAATACTCTGAATGTTAATACACTTTCTCGGGATTTTTTTAAACGCGAAAATATTCAGTAGATTGGTACCGTTGCTAATTAGTATACGCAAACGGTTTGACATGACATTGACAACATTTCAGTTTTAACAGAATATAACTTGACAAGTTTCACTTGTTCTGTGCTTTTGAGAGTAGGGATGGGGGAGAGAAATAAAAACATTTGGTTTATGTGTGAAAGGTGATGTAGGTTACTCCTGAAAACAGATGTTATTTTCAGATTGTGGGCAGACGTCCCTACACCACTAATGTAGAACGTTTGGAGAGAGGAAAGGGTACCTAATAACTGGAAGAAAGGCTAACTTGTTGAACTACCAAAGATGCACAACTGAATCATTGGGAAAACTGGCGCGGGATAGTGCTTCTGTCCCCGAAAACTAATTACTGAGACTTAAAGAAGAACTGGATGAGGAACCCTGCTCGGAAAAGACAAAATTCAGGAAGTGTGCGTCAGGTTCGGATCAAAATGCAACTGTATGCATCATGCTCATCGGAAAAGGCATCAGCCTTGGAAACACTTTCGACAGAGTTGACCATGAAGTTCTCCAGACCTTCTACGATGAAGTGACGTCAATCAGTTTTTTTACATAACTCAAAGACTTGACTTGTCACTAAAAGCTTTTCAAAGAGACTTCAGACATTTAGGAACATCTGCCTTCGTTGCCTACTGAATATCAGGTATCCAGAAAGCATAGGAACTAGGGAACTCTGACAACGCACCAACCAAGAACTAATTAACCTACAAATATGCCTAAGGAAATGGACGTGATTCGATCACATGCCGAAGAGACCTCTGAATGACATCACGCGTTAGGCCATCGAATAAGAGACGTCGAGTTGATTTGGTTGTGAGGGCGATATAAGGCGGATTGTGTGGAGTGAAGAACAAAGCCTGTAGGCAATTGTGGATCCACCTAACCAGGAAAATGCTGAAATACAGCTTTGCTGTTGAAGCCCTATCCATACTAACGGTCGACATATCAATTGAGGTCAAGCGTCTTGGTCAGACAATGATCAGTTAGTAGAAAACTCAAAATAAAACAAACATTGAATGATTGAGATATGCAGAAAATGGAAACAAGTGATCCTTAATATTAAGTACACTCAATTCTAGGCATATTTGTTCCCTTAAACAGTTTCTTTGAAACATTTCGATAGGAAGTCAAGAGGAAAAATGACACAAGATATGTCAAAACACTCCACAATATGTTCATTCCTTCTTGTTACCATACTAGAATTTGTGGACACTAAAATTTAGGTTGTTTTCATAATCAATGTAGAATCTGTATCCATCAATGTTCCACTTTACGAGACTGCTGATTTCATTTG